GGAATTAAAGGATATAATAATAATAGTATCTGGGTGGGGAACACTTCAAAACAGTCCTAATGCCGTTTGTAAAGGTTACAATATGAGGTCTAAGCTGACGTTGATGATAAGATAACTGACTTTATTAAATAGATATGTAATATGGTTACAAAAATAAAACAGTCTTGGCCTCAATCGTCAACCTAATGTTCACTGTTCCAATTTTGTAAAATATGTTTATTTTCTCATGCTTTTTATCGAATATTCATCATCAGCTTCTTAGATATATATATTTTATGAGATTCTGAGGAGTCTTTTCTTCTCTGAAACTTTTTCCTCTTTTTTGTTCTATTATCTTTGATAGAACAGTGTAGTTTTTCTTCACCAGAAACACATGATTAAAAACCTAGTTTCTGTACATATTTTTTCTACAGTAAGTATTGAAAGATTTGTCACATCTGGCATTTTGTAGAAATTTTGAACAACAATTTATTCGGTAACAGTGACAGCGAATATCACGGACATTCTTTTCACAAAGAAAAGTTATTTAAACTAAAATATTTATGCATATATATATATATATATATATATATATTCAGTGTGTTTCCGAAGTTTTTGGCGCACACTTTTTGAATAAGAGCACAAGATTTATTTCACTTATTTTACTTTATACTAGTGAGTGTATTAAAAATGCGTGTTAAGTCGATGAAATGAGGGAGCCATTTTGTTAACAGATAGAATAACTTTCTGTTTTAAAATGCTTAGCCCATTCAAGCTATAGGTAACTTAGTGATGTTTTTGTAATTAATTTACTTTCATTTTGTGAAACATAAATGGTATGTGCATAATACTGGTATCACCTATTTTTTAAACATTATATTGGTCGAAAAAGCTTCAGTCAGTAATCGAGACTAGGAAATTAGATAATTCTGAGAGGCTATTTACGTTACCACTGATCCGTGTTATAATCTCGGTATGTTAACGAAGAGCATTTTTGTGTGGACAAGCATGAAGTGAAATCAAATGATCAGATAACCAGTACTCTTAATTATATTTTATTTTTTTTTTATTTTTTAATTACAGCCTGATTCCACACCGTAATTTTGGTACAGGTATGGAATTCTCAGCATGTGAAATCGGTAGCCCAAATTTTGTGCAAGCCGATCATAGATATCAGGTATGCGTCGGCAGGGGATCGAACCTCAAACCATGTGCATGGCTGGCGAGAGTCCTAACTACTAAATAAAGAAACAACGAAAGTATTTGAAGGGTAATACAAGCTCATTTCATGTCATTGGTTCTCTTTAACTGCATGCGTCCTGAACAAAATGAGATATAAGTTTCAAAATTTCTGAACATATTTTTTATAATCTCTTGGAGTTGTTGATAAAAGTATAAGCAACATAGTTTCAAAGATGATGTAATTAGACTGATTATTCAGCGTTAAAATAATAACTCTTCATATTATGATTAGACAAGGGGGATAGAGTTAAAATTTCGCTTGGAGACAAAGATGGACAAAGCAACTAAACAGATTTGGAAACTTTTGGTGATTTCAACTCGGTCAATGGAAATCAAGTCAAAATTAAGTGGAGTCTTACGAAACAGAACAAAAAACAAAAACACATGAATAAAACTGTTACGGTTACCAGGTTAGTGAGAGGTTAGTTATGTTATCTTTCTTTATACTTAAGTTAGGTCGAAATCTTTTGATAGAAACAGCTTCTGTTAACCGAAGTAAATATGTTTTTGTCTATGTACTGATTATTTTGGGAGTGTAACTAATTTCCATTCTATGTCCCTATCATTCATGTGTTTCACTTGAGAACACTTCTCGGGCTTTCATGTGGAGATCTTTAGGAATGTGCTCAGAAAATCTAGCAGACATTGTCACTTCAGTCCCTCCCATGTATTTGTTGCCGGAATTGAAGGTGAATCGATAAATGAAGTTGAAGTTGACATAAGCAGGATACTTAACTACTTTTTACTGAGTTAACAAATATACTGTGGTGTAAAATGGAATGCGTCTGTCAACAGGAAACGTTCAATTCAACACACTCTTAATTCTTTTCTCGGTTCTTCCCCACTTTTACACCAGAAGGATAAAACTGGTTTCTTTTGAACTATTTCAGGTCTCAGTCTAGGTGTTTTTTTCACTTCCATATGAACTTTCGGCTACATCGTTTCTTTTTATTGACTGTAGGATTCTTTTCAATTTTATCTTTTGTACGTAACGCTCTAGCTCTCATAAAATCATTTTACTGAGCGCAATTTGTAGCCGACCGAGTAAAACCTGTGATAATTCAAGTGTTGACGAGTCCAAATTTATTTTCTGTGGACAAACCTTTCTATCGTCCCTTCATTACTCCTTTCTATGTTTAGATCTAGGAAGTGGAACTGATTGTAATGTTCATAACCCACTGTAAATGTAATTTGGGAATGAGCTGCATTGGAGTTTTCAAACATTTTGGATGCGTGGTCCATATTTTTGCAAACCACAAACTTGTAGTTAGCATATCTGCAGTAGTAGGTGGTTTTATCTGTTTTTGGCATCATTCAAATCCGTTCAAGATGAGCCAAAAATATATTCACAAGAACAATACCCAAAGGTAAGCCAGCAGGAATCCCATCAATTCGCTTGGTACAGCTGGTCGTCGAATCGGAACTGTTTATTCTTTGTACAAAAGAGTAACAATTCTCGTGGCTACTTTTCAGAAAGAGGAGGTAGTTCAGGTTGCTGGCATACGATTTTCATTGTTACTTCAATGGGTACGCTGGTAAACAATGAACAAACGTCGTATGGTACAAGAAGTTTGCTAGAGATATTCATTTGGTCTAGTCCTTTTGAGAATAAGAAGGACTTCCTTCTACTATTACTGCCAACCTTCCTCGAAATGATCCTGACTTTTGTGTCAAACAACTAGCCAGTTTATGGCATGGTGATTTCACCGCTAACATTACAGGTCTCAATGGCATTTCAGATTTGTGGACTTTCGGATGACCATGAATGAATGGTACGCGTCAAGTCCTTGATTTAAGATCAATATAGATGCTGTTATCGACTAATCTCTCTTTCAGCAATGTCATTTTGATGCTATGACCAGAACCTTTATCTAGGTTAAGAATAACGATCTTGTTATTTAAAACAATTAGTTCCATTCATGAATTTAGACAAAGCAGTGTGTAAAAAATAGGTCTTCTTATTGCTTTGTCTAGATGTTTTCATTATTCATCAGGCTTTTTAACTCTAGCCTGTGCTTTTTAGTAAGCATTTATGACTACAAAGGAGGAGAAACGCAATATAAGTCAAATTGCGCTTAAATTGCTCTTGTGTCCATCGTATTTAAAATCTAAATGACGGCTTCGAAACTGAATGAAGCAATTAATAGCAATGCAGAACTGTGTACATCCTTTGCATGGTTCAGAAACGCATGTTCTTTCTCCAGAGAAATTAAAAATATGCGCTTTGATTTGCTATCATCATCAATCATGGAACCGGTGCTCTTTTTCAGAAAATATGTCGAAAATGCAAATTTTTATTTGAGATCATATCTGTGAAAATTTTATTTTTATTATTTTCAAAGAAATAATGGTTTACTGAACGGACTTAGATTTCTGGACAGCATGTTCACTCTGTACAATGCAGGCTGTAACACTTGAGAAGAACGGAATAACAACATTTCAAGGATAGAGAACCTATGGGTAAATTGAAATGCTAAAAATATAGACCAAGCTGTAGAAGACAAGCTAGAATATTTATTTTCATTTGATCTGTTTCGTTTCAAGTCATATCCAGTGATAAATAATACCGGCAGACATACTATTTCTGATGTCCTTACTGGCTTGAATCAGTTTTTAACACATCTAATTCAACAGAAAGCCCTACAGGTCGCTAGTGACATCTTGCCGCATTGGTTGATGAATACATATAATCGGATGCCTAGTGGTAACTCATATAAAAGAAACATCCCAGTTAACAGAATCACAGAAACGCTTAACAGATAAGTATTTACCCACATACTAAAAAGTACAACACCACAGATTGCTACTGATTTGTGTTGGAGATGAGTAGGCATTCATATAAATAGAATCCTCTTGTCTACCCATCGAAGGAACAAGGCAATAAAATGATCAGTACGGTGAAATGCGGTTCCAACATGGGAAATCTTTCTAATGGATGTATGTGTGAAGTGTGAAATCTCGACTGTGCCATTCAAACTTGTATTTAGAGTTAGCCGAATTTTTCCACTATGCGTCGGTTGCACAGCGGTAGAATGCTCGCCAACCAAGCAGGTGGTCCAGAGTTCGATTCCTGGAAGACGCACTCCTTTATCTCGCCAAGTCAGTAATAAGAATGGTGAGGAGGGAAGGTTGGGTATGAGGCTAGCAACCCCATCCCGTAAAAGCAAATAACACTGATACCGAAACTTTAAGTCCCTAGCTTGATGCCCTATGTTCCACTGAGAACGTAAAGGAATAATATATATACATGTAAATTTCTTCACTGATTTTTATCGATGATTTCTCCGATCTCCCAGGTTGTTAAAATATCAGCTTTAAGTAATCAGTAATGGTATGTAAAAGGGGATTTCACCACAAAATGATGTAATGTAGAAAATTACTGAAAAGCCAGAATTAGTGGATAGATATATTGTTCCATTTCGGTGAACTAGGATGAATGGTGATCAGTTGCACAGTCAGTCGAAGATGCAATGAAAAAAATTCTTCCTAACTTGACACTTTCCAGCAATACCCTTTAAAGTCAGCAGGTATAGTACTAGGTTAAAACTCACAGTCCCTACAGACAAGAGGCTACGCTTCAAACATTCACTAACAGTAAAACAGTTTGCAACGTACGGTGGTCGTCGGTAGCAACTGTCTCCCTGAGTTATTCGATTCCTAAGTGAATTCAACAACGCCAATTTCACAAAAGCGAATGTGTGACGTGAACTGCTGCTTTTACCATCTCTTTCTAAAGTGAATTGACACCACAAAGATTTACTAGCATGTATGTACAAATAAAGCATGTTTTAATATCATAGTTTATTCCAGAAAAAAAAACAAATTGTAAAACTCAACGAAAAGATAATTTCTAAACAAACAAACAAACAAACAAAAACTCATGGACAAGGGAACACCAGAAAAAAATTGTCAGCCACAAAAATCTATGAACAAAACATAAGTTTTTACATAAATCTCCTACATTCATAATAATAAATAGTATTATATTTTGAAACACATATAAATTAATTCAACTGTATTTCATTAATACACAGTAACTGTACATGAGGTGATGTTTGTCTTCTTCATTTGGTAATAATTTTTATTGCAGAATGTACGTGTCTGTAAAGACGTGTGTGTTTGTGTGTGGGTATCTGTATTCGTGTGTAATGGAATACATTCGCAGATAAAAGTATAAAGTATGAAAGTTGCTGATTTAAAGTAAATGTGTGGATTACCTCATTACATTTTGATACATTTTTGACAAAAAGCAATTGTACAGACATGAAGACAATCTAACAATAATATCCAAAGTTTTTTTTTTTGAAAATTAAAATAATTACATCGAAAAGAAGGAAAGAATTCGGTGCCCTGTCATCAAGGGTTTATAAGTACAATAGGGGTAAACAGACTGGAAACGTTCACAGCCAATATTGATTTTTATGATACTGATAAAAATTTAAGAAGGAAATAAATATGCCACATAAAAAATACAGTGGTGTAGTTACACAATGATTGTGAAGGTTTATTTCTGATTTGGAATTATGAATACATTTGGGGCCTACCTATATAAAGGAAAGATCTAGAGGTAAAATGCCATCGTACAGTACTACTGAGTAAAATCAGTAGTAATTGGAAAACAACTAATAAAGATTTACGAAATGAAACAACCATGAATTTGTAACAAACAAACAACGGGTTGAATTTCATTATTTCGATAAATTCCCACTGCAGACGACAGCTAAAACCGAAATTATATTCAAAAGAAAAAGTCTTTCCGCATCTTTAAGGGATAAACTAATTCCATAGAAAAATTTAAAAGACAACAAACCAGTGAGAGTTCCAGGATGTATTACATGGTGACTGAAGGCGGCAGGATTTGAGCGAAACGCCTCCAAATTACTAGTACGCGAGACTAGCTGCGAGACTCATCTGCTAACCAAGTTATTATTTAACCACAGTCACCGCTTTTCCATTATGGGTAAAATTTACTCTGATAATGTCTCACGGTATTATACAGTAATATATGCTGATGACCACGTTTCGAGCCCAATTTATTGCTCATAATTACATCAAGGTCTGTCTGTCTGTCTTCGACATAGAACTTTGCACAAATGTGCGGAAGTTCAAGTCGCCACACTCCGTGTTGCACGCGAAGCAAGAGAAGAAAGTACAAGAAAAGCATAATATAGACAGTGAGCACAGGTGTGAGACAAAGGAAGAGTAATAATGAAGAACAAAACAGTTTCATTGGAGATCATAAGTCACAAGGAGTGGATGCATCTCCGCCAGCCATTGAGAACAATTTTGAGCCATGTCACCAATTGTTTCCAACCATAGATTTTTAACGTCCCGAGGACCCCAGCCTGGAAGTCTACACCTTCCTACGTGGCTTAGACCAACTGTTGTGGATTTCATTGACTGGTGCCATGTTTTTGTTTGACCGCCGCTAGCTTTTCTCTAGCCTGACCCTATGTAAGCTAACATTGCCCGTCGAGGGAGGCGATGGCTTGGCATACGTAACACATGTCCTAACCATATCAGTCTTTGTAACTTCACGACTTCGTCGATTGATTTCCCTGTTTACCTAGAACTCGACGCCTAACTTCAATGTTGCTCACCTTATTATGCCGCTTTACACGGAAAATAGAGCGCAGGCACCTATGATCAAAGACAGCTAGTCTTTTCATGTCTTCCACTCTCAGTGGCCAGGTCTCACAGCCCATACAGGAGGACGGAGCGGACTGATGAGCAGTACACCCGCCCTTTGGTTGATAGTCGAACATCTCGTCTACGCCAGAGTCGGCGTAAACTGGCAAATGCGAAACGAGCCCCCTGTATCCGTGCTGAGATTTCGTCAGAGATCAGCCCGTTGGGGCTGATGGTACTTCCCAAATAAGTGAAGCGGTCAACGTGCTCTACCACTTCACTTCCTATTTTTAAACTAGGCGTCGATGTAGTCCAGTCCTGTAACATCATCTTGCATTTGGCGGGAGCGAATCGCATGCCAAACATTCGTAGATTGCGGCTCAAGGTGTTTAGAAGACTCTGCATTTCGTCAGCGTCTTCGCCTAGAAGGACTATATCGTCTGCATATTCCAAGTCAACGAGATTATTCCCTGGTAGCAAGTCAATCCCTGAGTCGCTGAAGTCACTTAGGGTTAAGTCCATTAACATATCTATGATGAAGTTGAATAGAAAAGGGGATAATGGGCATCCTTGACGGACACCACTAGTCGTCACTACTTCAGATGACAACTCGCCGTAAGCCTTCACCTGGCTGTATGAGTACGAGTAGAGTGCCTTAATCAGTGCGATATATTTTCTCGGGATTCCCTTTACAGCCAAGCATCTCCAGAGAACTTCTTGATCGACAGAGTCGAATGCTGCCTTTAGGTCAAGAAATATAACGATTGTTGGACGCCGGTAGGAATGACTATGTTCTAGAATCTGTCGGAGGGTGAAGATATGATCAATACACCCTCTTCCTGGCCTAAAGCCTGTCTGGCTCTCTCGTGTTTGTGCTTTCCGAGCACCACTCAGTCTACGCATGATTATTGAGCCTAAGACTTTGGATACTATATTAGTCAAGCTAATCCCTCTGTGATTATCACAGGAAGACTTGTCTCCCTTCTTGTATATGGGGATAATCAGTGACTTACACCAACCCGAAGGGACTTCTTCTGATTCCCAGACGCTGCTTAGAACCTCAGTTAATGCAGACAGTAAACTGTCTCCACCGTACTTAAATACCTCTGGAGTCATTCCATCAGGTCACATCAAGGTACTCACACAACTTTCTAATTTCATTTATATAATGGAATATGGAATTATATAAACGAAGATATAAAGTTGTGTGAGTACCTTGATGTGATTATGAGCAATAAATTGTGCTCGAAACGTGGTCATCAAGCATATATTACTGTATAACACTGTGAGAATTTATCAAAACGAATTTCACCCATAATGAAATTATACTCTCCCACAGTGCACTAGTTCTATTTTTATATCAAGTTACCGCTTTTGTCTGAGACAGTAAACTGAATCACAAAGACCAACAGAGGATATTGTAAGTAGGTAAAAATATCTTTATTCACTGTTAAACTTCAGCACAACTAGCCTTTACACATCAGTTCTTTAGTATACAAGTATAGTGCTTGTTAATATGTTCGACTATAACGATTCCACTAGCTACCCAAACTATTCAATTAATTAAGCATCAAGTGCATATTGAGACGCTTTTGCGGATTGTTTCAGAAACTGAATTCATGGTTGATTGTGGAGATTTTTAACTGCCAATTATCTGCTTCAGTCACATCTACCCAAGAAAATACTATGAAGTCTTCACCGCATTTCGGCATTAGTTTAGCGGTTGAAAAAATATTATTTATTATCTGAGTACAGCCAGCTTGCTTAGTATAAAATACCTTCATTCTCTGTTATCTTTAGAAACGATATATTCTCGCAAAATTGCAAACTTTCCTACTTAAATTGCTATTTGTATCATCTATGTCCCATTTAATTTGAACAAAGACAGCACGATCAAAACAATTTCTGACGCTCAAAATGCTTGTGTAATATTAAAAATGCGAACAAATGCAAGCATATAATAGGTGAATTTTTCAATATTATGCGTAGAACACAACGGTTTCTATCCCTTTTTTGTTTGTTTTACTATTCTTTTAAATCAGAGTCATTATTTGTTTAAATTTGAACTAGGTCAGTCATTCCACTTATTCGAACAGAATCGTTTCAGCTACAGGCGGCACAGATGAAGATACCAAAGGCAGGATCAGAAAAGCTGCACTAAGCGTAAGAAGCAAGATTTTGATTTTCAACGTTAGTGTCTGGTCAGCGTTTCTATATGGTTCAGAGATTTCGCACGTCACCAAAAGCATATCCAGCATTTTTCTTCGCTCCACAGTTAAGATCTAATTGCCAGGAAGAATCAACAACCGGAAATTCTGGTAACGCGCCAACCAAGAACCTAGTGTTCAACAAATATGTCGAAGGAGATGGAGATGAGTCAGGCACACTTGAGGAGACCACTGAGTGACATCGTGTACCAAGCCGTCGAGCAGAGCCCAAATGAGAAACAACAAGAGTTAGAATTGGGTTCGGGTTTGATATGGAGGAGATAGCGTGAGGAAGAGGTGAGAGCTTAAGGCAACCGTGGAAGAGGACTTCAGAAAACAGAAAGAAATGCAGACGTGCTGCTGGAACCTCCACGTTCCACTCTGAGTCTGACGATAATAATAATAATAATAGGACAATATATCGTACTCATTTCAGAACGCAAACTAATTCCGCTTTTTTGAAATAAACGAAACATTTGATTTAAGGTAACCTAATTTTAAAAAATATATAATCTGATGCAATTTATTGGTTGAACTTCATAAATAAAGCTTACTTTAATTAAATGAACACAAAGGTTCAGTTAAGTTTATCAAAGCATCTTCTGTTTCTTTTGAAATAAGATATAAAATTATGCTTCTGCTGAAATAATTGATTTGTGCTTAACTTTCCCTTTCAGCGTTTGATCTAAGTCAAACAGAGAGAAAAAATAAGCAGAAAATAGAGATCTTGATAAATGTGATAGAGTGAATAAAACAAAAAGGAAGTTGAATTATCTCTTTTGGAGTTATAAAAGCCTAAATACCTGCCTATATTTTTTTCTTTGTCAATGGAATCTTTTATAATTCTGAAATGAATAGAAACAGATTACACTTCCTTGAGGCTACTGTTTTCGGGAGAAAAATATTTACTCCCTGGAAGTTCCTCTAATGCACCGTGTTTTATTATATCCTAAAGGTGGATGAATGAATTTTCAGAAAAACTGACTTTTTAGCTTACTTATTTACTACTTCAAACTACTGAAAGAAAGATTAGTAGAAAATGAGTAAATTCTGTGGTCATATTGTTTTTGTTTACAATGTCCAACCATTAGACTAAGAAGACGAATGTACAAAAGCAGATTACCACATGATAAAAACATAATATCAACTGCTATCCACTGATGTTCGACAATAACTGCCGTGATCATTGCTTGTACTGCGATAATCTCAATAGTGTCTATGCTGCCAATCTAAGTCTTACAAAAAGAACGTAACAGTTGAATATAATTCCATATTACATAAGTTTATTAACTCAAAATATCATCTAGTTATCAGTAATGTATCACTGTAAGTTATATCGGATAAAGTTGTCTAGTACGGAATTTAAAAAGAACACCGTTGTGAAAATTTGCAGACAAACTGGCAACCTATCAGTCGATCCCACTACTAAGATAAAAGTTTCATGCTCTGTCATCTTTTTTTATTACAGCTTGATTCCACACCGTATTTTTTGGTACAGGAATGGAATTTTAAGCATTTGATATCGATAGCCCAAATTTTGCAGGCCGACCATAGATATCAGGTGTACATCGGCAGGGGATCGAACCCCGGACTATGTGCATGGTTAGCGAGAGTCCTAGCCACAGTACCACCATTCTTCAATATTGAAATTTTGGTGGCGTTTTTCAGTTCTCAATTCGTAGTACGCCTCAAAATTAAATCACTTTGAAAGGAACTATTTACTAATTTATCAGTGCATCGGATAGGTATAATTTCATTATGTTTCTAAAATGTCGGTGTAATTAAGACATTGTTTAGTGTTTCCTATCATGTTTATTTACAACATGGTGTTCAGAGAATTTCTGATACCTAAAATATCAATTTAATCTTCAGTTTTTGAGTGATGCCCTAAAAAGTTCTGGAATACGTGGAGTTAGCAGTTCTTCTTGCTGACAATGTTAGGGCTAAACTTGACTTTGGTAGAAGCCCCTTTTATTTACACTTCCTAATTATTATAAAATATACATTGAAAACTTACTGAAATCATCTGAACTGTAGGGACTGAAATGGGAAGCATATTGGGTGTGCCATAATAAGCACTGTAAGTGTTAGATTCATTAGTTGTTGAATTGGAATAATCAGAGTTCTGAATGCCTAAATGAAACATAGTGGAAAGGAAGTACATGAAGGTTATTTTTATAGCAACATGGTAATAAATGTGAATTTGGCTTAGAAAATAAAATGAAGCTAATGAAATGTTTATTCCTGACTTCTCACAAACTGTAGACTTTTTTTGATTATTTCTTTTGACATCTTTTAAAGTTGGGTAAATTTATCAGTCATAATGTAAAAATGCCGGAAATTCCAATCTGCATAGAATCATTGTTTAAGAATAATGTGACCATTATTACTACTATAAACAAAACGTTATTAAGTGCTTTAAACCCTTTACAACCTGTAGGGAAAGGTATCTCGAATATAAACTGTGCACCCCATTAATGGCTTTGTAAAGAGGCTTCAACAACAAAAAGCTTGTCTATCTATCGAAAAGAATAATCATAGTTCACAGATGAACAGAACAAAGTGAGACACCTCATATTCACTCAAGACTGGCGCCAGTTTGATAACGGCGGAATTTTATATTTTAATAAATGGTGGCCGTTTGTTCTAGGTAAAGTGTATTTACCTTCAATCACTTTTTATGTGCTTATATTCTGATTTAAGCGGCTAATGTTATGTTAACTCAAAATTTTTCAAATAACCTTTTGCACTGATCCAAATCACAAAAAAGATATGAAGTTTAGCATATATATTTTTCCACAAATAAACAAAAAGGAGCCTCATTAATCCTAATAATTCCATTGATAGATTTCCTATTTTTTTTGTCAGGGAAGCGGTACTACTATAAATAAATCACAGGCTATTTGCTATTATCTGGTACAATTGATCACAGCTATAAAAGTCAAGCAGATGAGTTTCAGTTGTGGAAATTTGTCATTACTCATCTACTCTGATATTTTCAATGCATCCTGGAAAACTTAGAAAATATTTTTGAGACAAAGAAATGTATGAAATGTAAAGAACCGTTTCAAAACTTGCATGTGTCATTTTTTCTATAATCGTACGCTTTGTTTACTGGGATGCACGACATCTTGATGTGTAAGTACGGGAGGAATTAATCTATTAGATCTTTAAATGCGTTTCTTATTCCTTTACGTTAGCAGTAGAACATAGGGCTTTAGGTTAGCGCCTCGAAGTTCCGGTGGCAGTGGTATTTGTTTTTACGGGATGGAAGTGCCCAACCTTCCCTGCTTACAAGTCTTATTACTGGCTTAGCGAGATAAAGTAGTGCGTCAGTGGTGTCCGGCAATCAAATCCCGGACCACCTGCATGGTTAGCGAGCCTACTGTCACTGTGACACCGACAACCCCAGCTAACATACATTCGATAAAAAATAATAACCATTTATACCCAGTGCAAATAAATTGTTTACTCGCAGGAAATTTTACTGAATGACAAATTAGACAGGAATTAGTTCAAATGGTAATTGACGTACAGTATTTTAAAATCTGTCATGTCATTAGATCAAGTTATATTTATAAATCATTACAAATCAACTATCCATCCTGTAGTTACCACATGAATGGTAACCCTTCGAAGTTTGTTATTATAAGCATTTGTGTGAGATATACTAATGGTGCACTTTAATTGAGAATCTCTTGCATTCAATTAACAGCTTATTAATAAAGTTTGCACTTAAAATTGTTTAGAATGAAGGATAGGGGTCACTAATACAATGAGTCTTAATGAGCCACATAGTCAAGGGGGAATACTCATCTCCTGAAATTTATCACATGCTTATTATCATATCTTATTATGAATATGAGCAATTTGTATGGTGAATGTAATGTCGAATTGAGGTTATATTAAGCAGAGCGTCTGGTAACATTTTTGGAAACTAGTTCTTTCCACAAATTATTCTAGATTCAGCAAAGGCGGCTTTGATGCCGTTGGTCACGCATTAATTATGGAGTGTCTCAAGTACCAATTTGATATCATAGAACAGTTCAAGATTTCAGATTTCCCTTATTTTAGATATAAAAGTGGATATTAATATGGTATTCAACAAATCTAAAAGTTAGTCAATTACAAAATTTAAGATCTCAAACATATACGATAAAGAATTAACTCAATCCAGAAATACTGTTGCGGCTTCAAACTTTTACTAAGGCATTTAGAAATTTCACTTTAACAGAATGTGAGTACTATTTACAAATTAAAATATTGCTTTCATAACTTAGACATAAGTATTTACCTGAACACGTTTGAATACTGTTCATATTATTCATATTCATTTGATCTACCATTAAACTAGTATCAAACAAAGGATTGGCCGTTGTGATCAGTTGACTCTTTGAATCTAACCATGCAGGAATATCATCATTTGGATTAGACTTATTCAGTTCTGAATTGTACTGATAAAATGCACTGTTAACACTTTTTCTTGTAGAGTTGAAATCATGGTTAAATTCATTTTTATGCCTTAAATTAATTGTTTGAACGCCTGAAGTAAAGTGTTCAGGAGTTGGAGGTAATGGAAGACTTGGAGGTGGAGGTAAATTAAGTGGATTAAATAATCGACTTAATCCATTACAATGATTAAAAGAAATGTTCATTTTGGATGGATCAATACTTGAACTGTTGGAATTGTACTGTCGTATAACTGATCCATTAATTGTGTCAACTTTTGCATACGGTTGAGAATCACAGTCTGATCCAGGTAAACTAGTATAGATTGAATTTTCATGACATGTTTTTCCATAATTGATATTTTTTAAAATATTCTCTTCTGTTGAAAGATAGGTTCCTTGAAGATTCGATGATACAGGTCCACCAGGAATGAACTACGGGTAAGTGATCGCAACAGTCGAAAATATGGAGTAAATATCTCGCCATTATAATAAAAAACGAATAAATTACTGTCTAATTAATTTGGTTCGCAATCATTTTAATACCTGGTGTTATATTCTACCTTTATGATTGGGAAGCTTTGTTAATAATAAACTGTAAACTAAAACACTTACTCCACTTTTGTGTTATATTCGGATATCTAAGTGACTGCATTTAAAGTCAGATTCACCTGTAAATATAACCGTTATGTGATGCACCATATTGTATTTTTTTAAACGTTGATTTGTTGGCATATTCAATAGAATTTTTTTATTTTCCTTCACGTTCCTCAGTGGAACACAGGGCTTCAAGCTAGTGACTTGAAGTTTCTGTAGCAGTGTTTATTTTTACAGGATGGGGTTTCTAGCCTCATGCCCAACCTTTCCTCTTTACCAGCATTATTTCTGGCTTAGCGAGGTAAAGGAGTGCGTCGGCCGGGGATCGAACCTCGGACCATGTGCATGGTCGGCGAGCGTCCTAACCGCTATGCCACCGACGCACAAAATGGTAGCTGGAAATTTAATAACTCATTTTTAAGTTTGTGTCCTCAAACTAGATGTCCCTGGCTTCCACTCAGTACATTTGAGTGGTTTCGAGGTTTGCTTTCAGACTCTCCTTTTGCTTGTTCGGTGATTTGTTCGACTGAAAGACAAATAAACATTTACGAATAAAATTCCCATGTGTTGTTCTGCATAATATTTCAGATTCGAAAACGTATTTATTTATTCATAAACTTGTAGGCGTTAAAATCTGATAAGAAAACATTTGGAGTAACAGCTCATAACCTCGTGGGTGTATCACTGGTTTCATGGCTGCAAGCAAATCAGCTTCACATATTTTCTCTACAATTAAATTACATCTCTTGGCGCAAAAACGAAAGGAAGGATGGTGTTTCAGTACAATTAGATTTCTAAGTTAATTTCAAAGTTTTGCATTTTACTGGCCTCATTTCATTATTTTTCCAAACTTGTTTTACGCTTACTCTTATGCGGTGTACAGTTGAAGCGTATTCACCTTCAGTAGTCAGTCTTAACATTGATATAAGAATAAAACTTGTGCACTGTGGTAGAGTGTAATTCCATTATGGGTAAATTTTGTTTTGATAAAGTCTCACAGTGTTATACAGTAATGTGTACTGATGACGTTTCGAGCACAATTTATTGCTCATAATCATATCAAGGTAATCACACGACTTCCTAAATTCATTTATATAGTTCCATTGTTTTTCTCTTGATTTTCACTTGATTTGATTGGTAATAGTATTTTCCATATTTCAGTTATGAGTGACGAGTCATTCCTATTGCATGTGTTGGGTGTAGACTCGATGAACAAGGATTCAGTAATCAACCTCTCTCTCCACCTATCTAGATTACTTTTTAGAATTTCAGCCCTCTCCCACCCTATTGTGTGGTTGTGTGTTAGCGAATGCATTGCGATTGCTGAGCTTTTTTCTAAATTATTTATCTTCTCGGGGTCAACCATTCTTACCTTAGCTAAATATTTATGCTCTGACAATCTGACTACCCCTGATTTACTAGTCATTAGTAAACATTACTGTATAACACTGGGACTGTATCACAACAAAATTTACCCATAATGGAATTCAGTCTTAACATGTTAGACTCCATTGTGTCACTCGGAATGGGGAATTTTAGTTGTTTAGTAGAAGAAGTCAGTTGTGCGACGCAAAAAGCCAAGTACCTTTTTAATACGTTTTCAACAACTATTATGGATATGAAATATTGTATGCAATATCATTATAATTCTTTTTAATAAACTACGATTTCTGTGATATAAAACATCTTTTCTTATTCAATAGATTAACAAAAATAACTTACACTAGGTGTTACGATCGGTACAAAAGATATTGAATTATTTGGGTCATAATTATTCATACCGGGAATACTTGTTGGCAGTAAATTAGCATTAACTTCATTAGGCGATGGATTGAAAATACCATTTTGTAAATTTGGATGAGTTGAATAATTGTTCTCCACTCCGAGTTGTTTAAATGGTTGATGAATGGTATTTGTTGTCAAGTTAATACTTATCGGAGATACTCCATTAGTAGTCAGAAGTTGAAATCCACCTAGATATGCTGTTGTACTAGGCAATCCCATGTTCACATCTTGACATCTTTGTGGATGTTGGAACTGGTATTGCATATCGCCAGATACATTACTAGTAGTAGTTGTAGTTACAACTATATTATTCAAAGTATTGCTATTTTTGGACTGATCTGCAAGCAAAGAAGTATTCTGAGCACTTGATTTATTTACACTTGGATTGGAATCGAATTGAGTAGAATCACTAAATCTCTTGTTTTTTCTGTGAAATTTATGACGAAATGGTACGCGTAGGCGCTCCCGTCCCCAAACACAGAATAAACAAAATAATCCACAACAGATAAGTATTACTAGGAGGCTACAGATTATTGCAAGCACATAAGTTGTTGTTTGTCCTAGGGGAAAATTCAAAGTGGATGACTGTTCACTTAACAAATATGGAAGACCTGTTGTTGTACCACCAGGTTCTGAACGAGTAACCTCATTTGGGTTTGTTTCTTCAGGTTTGAATTTCAGATTGGGCATTTGAGCTACGGAAAAAAATAGAAGTAAATTATTTCAGTCAGGTCTATTATTTAATTGTTTCTGATGAAATTTTTGATTTGACCGTAATGATTGGCTTCTAGCACGGACGCCTCTATGATATCTTAAGTTTATTATATTGAAATGATTTGGTGAAATCCAGGATGTGCATTTTGCCCAAGATGTTTAGTGGATCATGCTCTTGCTTTGGCACCACCATCACTCACTGGGAACTGCAGGTATATTCAGCTGACGCGTCCTAGTTAGAACAAGATACACAACCTGGATCTCCTCAATAGTCAGCATCTCTCATATTAATATCAGTAAAAAGTTTGAGCATTGTGGATTAGATCAAATAAAGTATAATTATATTTTAATAGTTTACACACAATGATAAGTTTTGTTATTGGTAATATTTCGAGCAAAATTACTGCCCGTGTTCACACCACTCTTGTCCCATGCATGTGCAGCTATCGATGAATTTTTTTCAAGATTTTTGTAAGCTTGTGTCCCTGTTGGTTGACCTTTAGTTAGGCGTTTATGTTCATTCACTCTTATTTTGAGTGATGTGGACGTTTGCCCCATACATCAGAGGCAATACAAAGAAATCTCGAAAATATCGGCATTCGAACAACGTTTAAACCGACGAATCTGATCAAAAACAAAATAAATCCACTGAAAGATCCCATAAAAATGATGGATAAAAACAATTTGATTTATAAAATATCTTGTGCTGACTGTCCAACTAAATATGTGGGGCAAACGTCCAGATCACTCAAAATAAGAGTGAATGAACATAAACGCCTAACTAAAGGTCAACCAACAGGAACACAAGCTTACAAGAATTTAGAAAACAATTCATCTATAGCTGCACATGCATGGGACAAAAACCACAATATCGATTGGGACAATGTGTGTATTCTAAAAACAAACATGAATAAATGGAAAGAGAGACAGAATCGATATTCATTTAAAGTCACACCGGATACATGTAACAAGGGTGACTCAGTACAACTATCAACAACTTGGAATATAATTCTAAATACAAACACATGAATGAATGTGGAGTATAATTCTGTACACACATATGCACACACAAAACATGAATGAACAAAAAAATAATAATAATGAACTATATATATGAGTACAAATCATAAAGTGTGAATAAAACAATTCCAACAGTGGTGTGAACACGGGCAGTAATGTTGCTCGAAATATTACCTATAACAAAACTTATCATTGTGTGTAAACTATTAAAATATAATTATACTTTATTTGATCTCTCATATTATTTTGTTCTTTTAAAAAAAACTTTATCATAAAGGGTTCGCGTTATAATCACATTTATTCTATGCGTACTCATGTGAATGGAGAGGTGCTTACAGAATTCTTCAAAATTCGAAATGTACACTGAAATGACAACTTGTATTTCTTTTTATTGGTTCAAGGATCTGTTTCAGGAGCCTAACAACTGTATAATTTCAGGTTAGACCACGGATTGATGTCAATTAGAGAACCATTGGAAACCACAGAGTATTGGACAGCCGTTTCGTCCTTATTTAAGATTCATCATCAGCACGCATTCATTAGATTTCTTAACCAGGACATTCCGGTTACACGGCAAGCTCGTATACCATTCAGCCACTAGGACCCAACTCAGTGGCCGGCCATTAAGTTTTAACTTCTACGAATTCGTAGTTTTAACTTTAGCGTGACCACCAACCAATGCCATCGGCTGGGACTCCATCCTCACTTCCAACTGGATGAACCTCTCACTTGTCATGACTTCTCACGAGAATTTCAGGAAACTTCGTCCTGTAGCAAGTCACTGGGTTTGAAATGCAGTGGTTGTGTACTGACAAGGAGTCCCAGAATAGGATGAAACAGCTGTCCAGTACTCTCCGGTTTTCAGTGGTTTTCTAACTGATATCAGAAAATAGATATAGGCAGATTTTGATTGGTTGTTGGCTAGCTGGCTTCCTATTGGTCTAAAATATAAGTTAAAGCGGTAATCTTTTTATTTTGACACGAAAATTTACAGTCAGTATGATTTAGAGCTTACCTTACTATAATATAATGGCGTGTTAATTTTTTTGGTATGAGTGTAGTGTGATAGTCACACGCTATTTGGATGCATTGGTGGTGTTTAAAGTACATTAAGATGTATGAGAATGTCTAGTAAGCGAATATAAATCAACAATAATTTCGATGCATTTATTTTAAGCCCAAAATAGGATGTATGCATTTTTGATTACTAGGCGAATAAAATTTAACTACAATTTCTAAAAATTTAATGCGTCCTTAATTAGTACATATAGATAAATGTATGTATTAACTAATCTACTTTTTTAAGTTGTCAATTCAATGACCTTTGCGATTTGTGCATACTAGGTCAGCATAAATCAAGTAAATTTCCCTTCAAACGGCTGAGAGCGACAGTTTAAAGCATACTTTGGTTGACTGTTTTGTGATGAGAGCGATTTGGAGTTCGTTATAAATTACACCGATCTGTGTCTTATTCATACGTTTTTCAGCTGAGGATTTCCGGTTCATAGCATATCATGAATAACGGTGATTAGTACGATTTATTACTTAGACCGCAGCACTACCAAGCTTACAACAATTCTAAATTTATTCTAACCTATTCCTCGATAATGCCTTTTTATGGTAACTGAAGATCTTATTTACCCACTATTTTCTGAAATGACACAGGTCGTGCTTAAAAAGACAGCTGCGTGCTGAATCAAAACTTTCCACTCTGGAGTGACGCTAGTTCATCCTTAATATGTCCTGTGAGGGCTGGAACAACGTTGATAAGCAAACCCAGTAGGTTCGATTTAGTGCCACTCATGCTGAAAAATCAGCGCACAGGTTCACTGTCAAACAATGGCAAAACAGTAAGGGAGTCTACTGTTACTATTATTAGCATAGTCTATGTTACTATATTAGCATAGTATACGTTAATTAGCTCAATGATTGCAGGTTTACAATAATCTTTGACTACCAACATAATAACTGTGAACTTCAGGCTAAAAATAAGCTAAATAGTAGCACCCTGTGACAAAAACTGACCTACACACTGCAAAATGAGCAAAACATCCAGAAAAACCTTTTAAATTCAATGGAAAACGAATTCACGAAAACATATAACTAGCCGACGCAGGAACTCATCATGACCTAGAAACTGACTGTAGCCCCTTTCACCCATTCCTTGGGGGGTTGGCCCCGGCCGGGGTTAACCCCCCCGGGGCCAATTTGGGCCCCAAAATTCCTTCCAAAAAGGAAAAGAAAAAAAAAAAAAAAAAATTATACATTCCACTGATTTATCCTCAAAACACAACTTCGATTCGGATTTCACAACAACTATTATAGGCGTCATAAAATATCATTCAAAAGTAAATTACAAAAAAAAAACAGCTCATGATGTGTACATGTGTGTACAGCTAGTTTAATCTGCTAATCTTGTATATTCAACTGCAATTAATTAATCTAATATTAGTTCTAATCACAAATTTTACTTAGATTTGATGTGATGTCACCTTTACAAAAAAACAACTGTCCAAATCTCCATATTTTTTTTCTTGCTCCACTAAGTCTGTGATGAGTGATCAACCAATTATACATTCTTCCACTTTGTACTTGATCCCCATAACCATTTTATTCTTTAAAGACTTAACCATATAAATTCAAAAGGAGCGGGACAACCAAACGCTGACTAATTCAGTGCTTGTCGCTGATAAATGGATATGAGTGATCAATAGTTATTCGAAGCAATCAGTTGATCATGCTAACCAAATTTTCTCCCTATTTTTACTTATAACAAAACTGTTAAGTCAAAAGTTGACTATTGAAATGTATATCTAAATTTTTTTCATAGATTTAAGGATAAGATGACCTACATTGCCTACTAAAAAAGAATAAAGTAGGAAAAAATTGAATCAGTCACTAAGATTTTATCAATTTTTAATATTTTAAAATTAAAATAAGCAGCAATAGAAGAATACCTAATGTTATTATTATTATTATTGTTACTAATAATAAATTTTTTTTATTTCTAAAACATTGACTTATTGTATAAGTCATAATAAGGGAAGGTTGAGTAAATTACAAAGCAAATGGATACATAGTTGATAAATGATAACATCAAACGAACCGCCGCTATTTTCTTTGCCTTTTATCTTCAAATATGATATTTTTTTAAACTATTGACATTCTTTCCATTTTATTTGCATATACGCATACGTAAATTGGCATCATGTGTAAAAATGGATAGACTGTACGCCTTCGAGAACAGACTGCAGAATCGATAGTGTTTTTTTTGTGTGTTTTTTTTGTTAAGGTAAGCGATAAAGAGCTCATTTGTGATTAGTAAAACTAAAAGATATCTTCCAAAATGAAGTAAACATAAGAACATATCTTTGGAGGATTGAATTCTTTTTGAATCACTTATCCTCAGAGATTTTCCATTTTCTCATACAAATAGCTAAAAGAATGTAATGCTGACAGTAATGTAGTGAATTTGGTAAAAATTTGTTTAGGGCCAACTTCCTTCCGTATTTATCTCACAACAATTACATGATACCTGGTAAATTAAACTATTTTGTCTAACGGAGTCAATAGTACATTTAAACTGACAAAACGTATCTCTAAATGAGTTACTGGGTTTCAGTTCCACGTTAGCTACAAATATGTATATATATATATATATATATATATTAGTGAGTTGCTATGTCAACCTAGAAGTTAAAACTGTTTGTTAGATCTTTCTTTTTTCTATCTTCGCCTCCTCCATCCTTTTACACTTTGAGAGCACATAAATTAATACTAACCTTGCCTAGTTAACTAGGTTGCTGGTTTTCTAGCCAGCCTCAAGCTTGGGTAAAGAGGGAGGTGAGGCTAGTAACCCCACACCACTAAACCTATGAAACCGCTAGAGATCCTTCAGTGTACAGAAAATAATTAATTGATAGTGATTTAAACCAAGAACTGTAGTGCTTTTATTTCGAGT